TGTTGCTATGGTAACAACGAGGGGGTTGCCCACGACGAAAGGGTGCACACAGAGGTGGGCCAATGCTGACAGGTAGGTAACAGGATCCAGCTCCCTTGGTGGTGGGGCTTTCGCTCACCTTTTCCATCCTGGCCATGGTGCGAGCAGCCCGAACCAGACCACAATTCAGCTCGTCAGTGGCTGATGCTCTCCACAGCTGTAGGAGGGGTGCAACATGAGCCCCCGGCAACAGAAGCCCGCCGACAGATGTGGGAATAATCGTTACTGACTATAAAGGAGGAACTATGATTTTGTGGCAAGCATTTTCAGATTTAAAACATGATAGGTCTGTGCTCCCTGTTCCCTACAGGCCTACGTGCGTCATACCGGCTGTAGTCACACCACATGATGTGCAAACGCATGCCGATAACATGAAGCCAAACGGGGGGCAGATCATTCCAGCCAGATTTAGGTGGGGTATGACATGCGTAGGTTAGTCTGGGCCTCTGTTGGGAGGACAGACCGCCTGCCAGGTGCATTCTGTGCTCATGACAGGGGGGGAGTTACATTTTTAAAGCAAGGAAAACTCGTAAAACTCAATCCGTATGAGGCTGGATTCAAAGAAATGCCATTTTTAGTTTGAACATGTCCACTGTCCTTAATTAAGGACACTGAACATGGGCTTCATTGCGCAGGTCCCGCAGACGATGCTTGTGTGTGTGGTGGGTTTCATTGCGCAGGTCCCGCAGACGATGCTCGTGTGTGTGGTGGGTTTCATTGCGCAGGTCCCGCAGACGATGCTCGTGTGTGTGGTGGGTTTCATTGCGCAGGTCCCGCAGACGATGCTCGTGTGTGTGGTGGGTTTCATTGCGCAGGTCCCGCAGACGATGCTCGTGTGTGTGGTGGGTTTCATTGCGCAGGTCCCGCAGACGATGCTCGTGTGTGTGTGGTGGGCTTCATTGCGCAGGTCCCGCAGACGATGCTCGTGTGTGTGTGGTGGGCTTCATTGCGCAGGTCCCGCAGACGATGCTCGTGTGTGTGTGTGTGTGTGTGTGTGTGTGATGTTCCAGGCCAAACGCTGTGTTTGCATATATGTGTGTGAGTATGGGAGGAGCGTCATGTTTAAGGACAGGTAGGGCTGCACGTTTAAGGTTACAGCCCCCCCCCCCCTCCTGCAGCCACCCGGACATCGGATCTGTTTATGAAGGTCCAGCTATCGACGAGCCTGCAGCAGCTTCTGGACTGAGGGTGGGGCCGCGTGACCCACGATGGCATGCTAACGGAAGCTTCTAGAGTTACGTGGGACGTGGATGCGGCCGAGGTGTTGGTGGAGTCACAAAGGAGTCACCAATAGTGACCAGATACCTCTGTTTTGTGAGACACTTCGGTTTGGGACAAGTGTGTGGCGTGGTGGGTTAGTGCAGGTAGGGGGCGCTGTAACGGTGCCTCAGTCAGGGCCTGGGAGGGGCTCAGTGCCCCACTGCTGCTGGGACAACAGGTGCCTGGCCCCCTAGCCCCACCAAAATTCGGCCCCCAACACCCCAAGATTCCCCAGGCAAATGCCTGTGTTTGAGGTGGGGGAGAGGGCCCTGATTGGGGATGACCAGGGACAAGTGGCCAGGGACCGAAAGGCAGCTTCCACCCTCACGTGCATCACAGCCCTAATCTCACCCCCCCACACACCCCCGTCCTGAGAGCAAGAGAGAAAATTGGAGAAAAACAATGTGTGTGATGGGTGTGACGGATGACAGAGAGATGGATGGATGGAGGGAGATGAAAGGAGAGAGAAGGAACCTGTCTGGCAAATGAAGCTGCTCAGACCCCCCCTCCTGCTGCCATCCTCGTGCCCCCGACAATGGGGGCCTTTGTCATGTGATCATGTGAAAAAAAAATGTTCCCATGGGAACCGGGGGAGTCAGGTGATTCCCTGACAGGTAGAGAGGGGCCCCAGTGCCGCGATTGGCAGCGTAACAGGACCGTGGCTGGTCGATGTATAATTCATCGGGTCGGTTAATAATTCAGCCTGTGTACTGTCCCCCCTGCCGACGGAACCTGCTGTCCCCGAGACCCGAGGTCCATGGCCGTGCAGTGCCAGGTTCTGGGTTCAGATCCGGTCCCAGCTGTATGTGTGGGGGGGATCTTCTGTCCAGGTCTCCAGTCCATTCGGAGTGGACAGTGGCTGCTGAGGAAGTTAAACACATGAGTCTTAAACTGGTGAGAAGTTCTGTGTGTTTATTAGTCGATACTGCAGCCAGCGGGGAGCATCTCCCTCTCATACACACCTACAGCACTTTCTGCTGTAGCCTAATGGCTGCTTCTATGACCTTTTCAGAATCCTTCCTGCTTGTTTTGCTCTACTGGCTAGTTACACACCATTCTGACATTCCTCATATGCGAAGGTAACATTTTGAATTTCTCACGACCTTGGTCGTCTTTTCGATTAGGTTACGGCAACTTTATTGCACCAAAACAATTTAAGATAAAACATACAGTTCATATTACAAATCTCAGACTACAAGAAGACAGATTAATAACAGAATACATTTCTTTGCAACCTCCCCCCCCTAGACTGAGGCCTGCACTTTATAACATGCACATTCTTTATCTTTTAAAGTAACTACTATACACTTTAATACTCAAACATCATTTCATTTGTTCTTCACTCCGGCTTGGTGAGTTTGTTCTTCCTGGGGCCCCCTGCTCTCCGCTTCCCCCCACAGTATAGTGATTGTTCTTGGCAGATGGATGGTTTGAATGGTATTGAACATTGTTGCCACCTGGACCACTGCACCAGTGCCCCTAGGGTGTTGTGGGACACAAAGGTGACTTAAAGTGAAACAGAGGATCTCCAGGAGCCCCTGATTGCGGGGGGGGTCAGCCTACAGAAAGGTGCTGCCAGAATGTTTATGGAGCTTCTGAAAGAGCAGAGGCACACGCCCCAGTAACACTTACGAGGCCGTGTTGAAATGAAGGGGGCTGCTGTGAGCTGGTGACCTTCCCTCTGTGCGTCAAAGCCGGAAGCACCTTAATCTTCCAGTAAAACTGGAAGGCAGTGGCCAGACCAGCCAGTGGTGCAGCCATCTCAGCCACCCTGCTGCTGCATGATATCAGTTTCATGGTTATTTTTAATCATGCCTAAAACTTCATGCTGAGTGTTTCCTGCTGAAGGATCTGAAACACACGTTTCTTCACACACCACTCAGCAACGTCAAAGGATAAAACTATTATTATTTTCATTTCACAACCCTAAACTGTACGGCTTAATAAAATATTAATGTCTTTGCTTTGAAGAAATCGGGCTGCAAACTGCTTTGTTTTACCACAGACGGCATCTGGCTGTCATGGACACGCCTCCGGGCTTTAACACCTGGGCAAGCTGGATTCACGGTTTGGGAGGTGCCTCTCTGGTGATGGACCCCACAACACGAGGCCGCTGGTGCCGTCGCCCACTTGAACTCTCACAGCTCACTGCCAAAACGGGCGTCAGGGGAGACGCATTTGTCAAGCTAAAAGAAACCCGTCAGAAGAATGATAAATGTTTTGCTCTAAGTCCTGCCGTTTATATTCAACAGGCAGAGCTGGAAATGGGGAGGCCGTCAGGATTCCATTAATCAAGCGGGCGAGTGACCTCACTGACCGGGAGGGACACAGACCAGCACAGCGAATGGCGCTGCTTAAGGACAGCACAGTCACCATTTCTACGGAAACTATTCATAAGTAATTCACCACCATCACCACATTTTTTGCTGGTGGCGACTCTCAAATGTTTGTTTTGTATCATTGAAGTTAATGGAAGGGAAGGGGTGTGTGGGTGCAGGACTGATGTGGCTGACGTCGGTCACCCATCCAGAGCAGTGATGACTGCTGGAACACGCTGTCAGGGCCTAACGGTGCCCACTGGGGCTGGTGAGGCGGGCGCAGGGGGCCGGCGGGCATCACTCTGGCGGCTGGTGCAGGAACCTGACTGATTGCCCCTCTCGTGCTCTTTGCTTAGTCTGCCCACTTAACCTCAGCCAGGTTTCTGGGCATGAGGGAGGGGGGGGCAGCCTTACCCTGACAAGCTCCTATGCCAGGTGAGAGAGTGTGAGCTTTTAGACCAGCTACAAACAGAAAATGGCACCATGGTTATGAATGGGGATAGTTGGCTTAGCAGTTAAGCCTCTGTGCCTGTGATCGGAAAGTTTCTGGTTTGAATCCTCGGTAAAACAACCACATTTCCATTAGGCTCTTGAACAAGGCCCTCAACCATGCAGAAAACGCTCCAGGAGCACCAGACAGATATCTGACCCTGTGCTCAGACTGCAAGCTTCACTCTCTCCACAACTCTACAGGTTTCAATAGCGATGCTTACAGTACACCACTGCTGCGCTACAGTTTTGTTCTCTGAGGTACAAACAACATTAATGTACCCCCAATGGAACAAAGATGTTCCTCAGAGTCCATTTCTGTACCTTATAAGGTGAATTTACCTACAGCTAGGGTACAACTGGCAGACCCTTGAGGGTACAGGCCCAGTGACAAGTAAATGTACCCTCAAGAGTACAAATTGGTACTTTTTTTCAGAGTGGATGTGTCTTAAAAAGGAGAGCATGATGGGCTATGTGAAAACTAAAGAATTCCAATATACAAGAAATGATAATGTATAACGTATAAGATAATGTGCAAACACTAATTAATGCAGAGAGAGAGAGAGAGATTGATTGATTGATTGATTGATTCATTCATTCAAACCCCCTACTACTGCCCCTGTCACTTACCGAGGAGGGGGACAGTGTAGAGACTTCTTTGCAGATCACACCCATACTGGACCAGCTGACAGCTCTGTGCCAAGTTCTGAAGTCAATTTGATCTCCTGGTTCAATAATTACAATGACTGGACAGAAAGACCAACTCAGCCACCAAAACATAGTAAGGGGATAATGTGAACAGACCTCCATCCAGATCTGCCAATGGTCTGGATCTCTAACACAAGACTGCTAGCAAGAATGTCTTATTCTGGGTTGGAATTAAAGAGACAAATGTTTTGTGTAACTGATTTATTAAACATGATGTTAGAAGACTCCCTGATAAGATCCCAACTAAAAATTATAGAAACAAAACATCCAACGTATTGTATATAAAAACATATGGAAGGTTTACAGGAATTTTACAAAAACCAATTGCGTGTTAATCCTAACAGGGAACTGAACCAAGAAATTACAACTAATATCAGTTACTAAATGTAAATACAGTTCCAGCACCTGTGTGGATTAGATTATGAATGAATACAGTAAACCAAAATATCTGAAAGCTAGCATGACAAGACAGCCAATTAAAACCCGATCCCAGACGTACTTAAGGCTGTTGATGTCCTAGGCGCGCAACCCCTACAATGATGCGAGTTTAATATATGAGCGGCCCCGTTTGAGACAACACAGTGATAATGGTGAGGAGCATGGCGGTCATCGAGCTCAGCAGACGAGCCAGAGGCGTATCGTCGCGGGTAGGAAGGTGGTGGGAGTCAAACCGATCAACACCTGGTCTCTTTAGTGTTCGGCTTAGCTTCCGTTGCAAAGGTTTCATTTGCGCAGCCGTTTGGTGATTCCTTTCCAGTTCAGGTGAAATTAAGTTGCCAGTGGGACAAAATAAAAAAATGAAAGTATGCTCTTTGGATGTTTTTCCTCCCTCTTATCTGCTGTATGTCAATCTTCATTGCCTCCGTTTATTAGCGATGACTCAGGAGCGACCGCGCAGCACCGAGATGGCAGCGGCGAAGGGAAGCAGCAGCGAGGAGGCGCCGCAGCGCAGGGAGCTCCCCGCACCTCCGGGGCTGCTGGTGGAGTTCATGTGGCTCACGGTGGTCACGTTCCACGACATCGTACTCTTCAGCGTGGTTCCCGTAGATTGTGTACTACCTAGAGATTTCACCTGGGGAAATGGAATTCATTAAGTTTTGTTCCCCTGATTCACAGTAGTCAGAGCGATGCGACAATTGTCCGAAAAAGCGGAACATTGAGTTCCCACAAATTAGGCTAGACTACAGTTCCCGTTGTAACCACTACCTACGATTTTCTACGTCTTCATCGCAAGACCGCTTTATGGAAAAGCAGAACACACGTCTATCCACCCCAAGGGTATACCACAATCCCCATCGGATAGACGGCCTTTCAAACGAAAAGTTGTTTAACTTTTTAAAAGATTTCTCTTTGAAGTACACCTCAAAAAATACACGTAGGTTACAATTTAATAGCGAGGTCACCACTGTAATGCGGACAATGATAACCTTTAATCCTGATTCAAATTGTCAGTGCATTTATTAACTCCTATAGACTCTGATCCCTCGGATCCTGCACGAATTGCAATGCATCGGAGTGGATTTCTATGCTGACTCGAGTTTCTTTCAGCGCTAATATTACCTACCGGTAAATTAGAAAGGATGGCGGGTTTTAAATAAGTCATCCGACCGTCTCCAACTCACGAACAGAATGCATGCGTATTATTTCTACCGAGTTCCGTAAATTAACGACTGAAAGCAATTCTTATCGAAACTGAGAAAGGACACGAAATCTAAATTTTAAAAAGCGAAAGAAAAAGATGATTTTTACTACAAATAACTTTTGTTATTTGAGGGTCGGTACAGTAGTCAGTGATAATCAATGAAAATATACTCTGCACTTGATAAAATGTTCTTTATGCTTCCTCCAACTCTGGAAGGTTGTCTCACTTGAGTTCATTTCAATGACACGACAGTGCCTTCACTATTCAAAACTGATTTTATGTCATTGCAAGTAGATTAAAATATGAATTTACAGCAAAAACAAACTACAACAAAATGATAGCCTACTAGTAACAAATGAAATTAAATAATCTAAATACGGCAACAATAAAATATAAAAGTTAAAGTCGCACGGGAAAAAATAATAGACAAAGTAACCATACCTGAGTGGAAACAGAGAGGATTATGAAGCACAATCCGAGAGTCACGGCCGTCATTTTAAACATTTTTGCTGGTTAGTCTGACCAACAGGTGGATTTGTTTAGACCAGTTTCAGCGCGTGCTGCTCCTCTGAAAGAGGGTGGCTCAGGGGCGAGCGGTTTTATAGCGGAATGGTGCGTGTGACGCGCGCCCCAACCTGCCCCATGCATACATACCAATTTCAATTCGACAATACGAACACAGCCACCTTTTTTCCTCTGCCAAAGAGCAATTTGATTATTCTTTGTTTATTTCCGCACTTAATTGCTTTTTGCATACGTCCATCTAAACAAGCGCGACCGGCACGTGAGTAAAAGGTACAGACGGAAAGATGCGATGGGAAGAGTGAGGGATGCCGCACGAGGCCATAAATATGACAGCGACAGAAACGAGAAAATCCGAACCGGCAGTCACCATGTTCATTAATATCAATGTTATATTTCAAAAGATCATGAAACTGGAAGAGTGCATTATCACACACTTCTTTTCTATCACTTAGCCTATTAGAGTTTATTTGCGTTATGGTTGTTGAAATTCAACAAGACAAGAAAGGGTACGCACAGACCAACATAGAGCTATTGAAATATGCATCATTAAATTATGTCAGCTGTAAAATGTGGCTTAGCTCTTTGAAAAGCTTTTGAGTAGCCTACTGAAATCCAGTTCATTCCCAACGCACTACACCTCTTGGCTGGATAAGCGAAATGGGGGAGGATAGATGACTGTTAATTAACTTTCAGATTTATGATGCGTTCTCAGATTAAAATAGGCATTGTTTATGCAACAAGACAATATATGACGCTCTGATGAATAGGTTTTTTCAGGTTCTTTTTGCATGTTTTTGACTCTTACGACACGTATTTTTATACACACGATTACAAACAAAATTGTATATAAACGGCAGGACAGATCTGCATTTTTCGGTCTTGTAGCGACCTCTAATGTTGTATTGTCATGGTTTTTATCACGCTGAAAGCCGCACGTGACTGCGCAGCGTTTATGGGACCTGAGTGCGCGCGTCTACCGGCCGCGCCGCGCCGCTTTGGTTAGTGCCCGTCAGGGGGCGCCCGTTGCTCGGTGTTCGTCTCTGTCGCATTTTTATGACTTCATCATGAGGGTGAAAGAGCGCAGCGACCGAAGGTGAAAACCATACGCGCAACTACACTGGAGGCATGGAAGATGATTAAGTTAGCTGGAGTGTCCTTATCCTGGCTATACGGCACACGTGTAGCTGGTTTAGGACAGTGTGTTTGGCACTATACTGAGCGGCTACGGGCATGTCGGAGGTATGCAGGAATTTATACTTTTTAACTGTGGAGGTTTGGTATATAAAACGATTAAGGGCTTTCAGAAATGTATGTATTTTCCGAGACGTATCAGATTTCCAGCCGGGGAGGTAGTATATGAACATGGTGGTGCTGGTATGAGTAACAAACTAGTCCGCAGGCACTCGTGCACACTGGTATACATTATAAAGCATCAATAATATGCATCTAGTTCACTGAAGTTACGATAAGGCTAGAATATAATTTTTTGGCTTTGATTGTACTGTACTGGAAGTGTCACTCGGAAATTGCTTGTTGCTGTGCTATGGTATGTGTCCAGGCGGGACCATGAGCCGGTTATGGATGCAGATTCTGCATATCAGGCGGTCTATTGGACGGCTCCCCACAAGACGGCTCTCGCCAGATCCAGTCCGTTTGGGCTGGAGTCCCTGCACAGCATTACTGGTCCGGTTTGGTTTCTATTCCGGCACATCAGGGGCAAGTGAATCTAGGAAATATCCCCAGGTGTGGCCTGTGGCCCCTGTGAGGTATAAAGGCAGCAGGGACTCAAAAACTGGCAGTAAAAATAAAAAGCATGCGGCTGGAGAGGAGGATGAAGACGAAGATACCGACCTAGAGGCCAGTGATGAAGAAGAACCTGAAGATGACCCTAATCTGCCAAGAAACTACAAAGACCAGGAGCGAGTTGTGCCGTCCCTTCGTTATGACCTCATCATCAGGGCAGGCCTGGATGTGCCCCGACAGTGAGTAATTAGAGGGCTAAATGATGAGGGGAGGGGAGGGGAGTGGAGCAGTTGGCCTCTGCAGTGCAAGCCAGCCCCTATTCCTGACACCCTTTGCTCTTTGTCTGAAGAAATGCTCTCCGTTTCCTTCAGCAAAATTGACGACGCGTTTTACCAGAACAGACTGAGGCTTAATGGACAGCCACTCATGAAGAAAAGCAAGACGGTGAGTGAGACCCCCCCCCCCCCCCAAAAAAAAATGCTTCCATGGTAACTAAACAAATATACTAGGTGGTCGCCTCATTAACCTGCTCATCATAAGCTGCTGTCCCAAGTGGCTTAAATTCCTCACCATTATTTAACATCTACGTAAAGTGCAAAGAGACTGAATGTCGGCTGAATGTTTTGCCAGAGCGGTATGGGTTATGTACCCTGCTAGACAACTGTAAAACAAACACAAAATGAAATACAAAATAAGTACAGCAGCCAATAGTAAGTAACAATGTCAACGGCCAGAATCCCACCATGGAGAGTGTGGGCAGTTTCAGCTTCCTGGAGCCAGTGACTTGCTAGTACTTGGTCTTGCTGATACTTGGGGCCAAAGCTCCTGTAGACCGTCTCGTCATTGATGGTCAGGTCTGTGCTGGTGCAGTCGTCAGCAGACCTGTGGTTGGAGCGTTATCATCAGTGCGGTGCAGTTTTAGCACACTGCCTTGTGGGTTAGGATTGAAGATGAAGGTGAAGAGCTTGTTGAAAGGTCTTCCCGTTCTGTTGTGTGCTAGAAGCATTGAGCTTGCCTGGGATGGTGTGCAGCGTCCTACAGCTACTGCTGGCCGTCCCAGCTGCTGCTGTGTGGGGTTTCAGGTGCGGCGTGTGGCTCAGTGGGTTAGACTCTGTACTTGTGATCAGAAGGTTGCTGGTTTTACTCCCAGGGTCAGCAGAGTGATGTCAGCACTGGGCCCTTGAGCACCAGGGAATGGGCGACTCTGCTTTCTCACTTCAATGTTACTTCAGTTAAAGGGATCTGCTAATTAAATAAAATGTAAATTAATTCTGTGACTTGTCCAGATCAGATAAAAAGTCCCTGAACGTGGTCCGGTCCACAGAATTAAACCCATGCTGCAGTCTCTCTCTCCCCTCCACGGCACACGGCACACGCGCTCACCTCATCTCCACAAGCTCCAGCTCAGGCCTGTAAATGGGAAGCTGGAATACAGAGAGCTGGCATGACACAGCAGCTCCTCATGTCTCTGCAATATCGGCCTTCCTCTAGATCAGTGTTTCCCAATCCGGTCCTCAGGGACCTACAGACGGTCCACGTTTTTGCTTCCACCCAGACAGTCTATGTGGATTGGGAAACACTTTAATGTCCAGTGACTGAATGTTAGCCAGAGATATGCTGCCAGAGGAGGTCACTGGCTACTGGGATCCTAGTCTTTGTCTATTTTCTGTTCACCTACAACCTGTTGCAATTGCCTATTCATCATGAGTTACAATCCGTAGTTCTCCATTACTCAAGAACCTTGGACTGAGACCTGATCTTAGATCTGCTGCAGTCATTTCTAAAACACCCGAGATCGTAGCTATTGGAGGAAGAGAGGATCATGGGTAAAGGTGTGACAGGTGCTAAATCTGTCCTGCCTGCCCTGCCAGGTCTCCATTGGGGACACCCTGGACCTGGTACTTGAGAACAACGCAGAGACGGGCATGGTGACACTGATGAGAGTCGTGTTCCAGGCAGCAGCCGAGGCGACGGAGACCACAGAGAAGCACAAGGTGGTGCTGAGGCGCTGGAAACACCTCCGGCTTCCCAAGACAGAGACCCACAGGCAATGATGGTGGCCAGATTGTCGGCATGGAAACAGGCCCTGGATTGGACACTGGCACGGTGTTATGTGGTCACTATGTGGTCATTGGTGATGTTTGACTATGTCCGTTAATACAACTTTTGTAACACCAATGATTCTCTTTTTAAATGTAATTAAAAGCCACAAGCAGTGTTTGAGTGTGTTTGTTGTGTTATGAAAACGGCAATTAGCTGGTATTTGTTTGAGAGTGTGTACAGCACAGTCCTGAGGTTGCTTGGGCTGGGTGTCTGTGCTAGTACATGGTCTCAGATCATGTGAATGAGACTGATATTAATGTGACACATTTTGACGACACGGCTGGTGGTGCAGAGAAACGATCACATGGTGCGTCACGCCAAGCCGCCTCCCCACGATGCAGAGAGCCTTCCTTCTTGAGGAATAACAATGACACACACTGCTACTGCGTTTTGCCTTTACTTACAAACTAGTTTGTGACAGATGTGTACCATAGTTTCAAAAAGGATAGGGGCGGTGGCATTACATCGGATTGTGGACAGAAGAAACGTACAGTCTTTAAGGACTCGATAATAAGCTCAGTTAAAGTTTTAAGAAACGGTCAGTGCATGAAGAACAACAAGGTTAACCTGCCACCTTCCTCCACACAAAGTGCAGTCGGCCCCTTCAGCCACGTGCATTACTGTTACTTTTACGGTCTTGAAGCATTGGCTTCACCTTGACACTGCCCCCTGCTGGCAGTGAGTGCACTGTGTAGGTGATACCCCTCTGCCTGCAGTTTACAGGCCCAGGCAAGACAAACTTAAAAGGCAGTAATACTGTTGTTAGCACCTTCTGCTCAGGTGCACAGTGCACAGGTCTGTCCTGTGATAGCATTACATACACATCAAAGTTAGTACTATGGTATGGAAGTATATCTACCTGAACTCTTAGGCAATGGAGAGTCGACTATACTCAGGCGAAGAGCGATATGACCTATCTCTATGGTTACAGCTAGACAAACCAATCCTGTAAGAATGTTAGACATTTAATCAAAACCACTGGTACCAGATACTGATCCAAGCCAGCTGTATGTGTACCAAAGTGTAAACACACTTCTACTCGCTTAAGTCTCTGTTTCTCTGAGCCTCTACATTTTCATTGTGTTCTCAGTTCTGTATTTACAGTTACTGTCATTAGACCATCAGCATAACAACATACGATAAACTCCTGATTCAAAGTTAGAATTAGCTACAGCAATATTATTTTTGGCATATATATAAATAAAGTCTACCATCTCGATAAAATCAAAGTTATAGTGTCCTAATTAAACTATGCTGTCTGGTGCTCTATGTAGTTCAAAAAATATGTACCACAGGACTATAGAAAATACTATGGAATCCTATAATAAATTGGCCTAAATCAATGGGAGACCCCTGTAAGCATTGTCCTCCTCTCAGTCTACGCCTTTGTGCAAATCATAAGGTTTGTTAGCAAATACTGCTGGCAGAAGCAGCTTCATAAATAGGACCCGGTGCTGCTGGAGCGTTTGGCTTTCTTCAGGATGTCGCACTTTTTGCGATTAGGGCGCCGGCAGCGCTCGTCGATGCTGGGCACACATTCGTAGTGCCACACTTCCTCCATCTTGTCCACGGGGTACACAGCCTCCACGTAGTGCCGGATGAGCCGCAGACGCACCGGGTCCAACTGCTTTTTGTTGCAGGCACCTGAGTGGTTGTACTGCAGCCGTAGGTTTTCCTGCGTGAAGAGCTCGGGGAACAGGCGGACCAGGAGCCGCGCCGCGAAGTTGCCAACAGAGAGGCTCTGCTGGACGATCTCGCGCACCTCGGAGTCTGAAAGCAAGTAGGCTGAAGGCACGGGAAAGTCTGGGGCCGTGATGCTCAGCTCCTCCAGGGGGATCTTGCAGAAGTCCTTGCTGCTTTTCTCAGGAGGCAGAGGGGGAATCTCAAGGTCCTCCTTAAAGCGCTCGGTGCCAAGCTGGCCTGCTGGTATCGAGTCCCTGGATTCGGATTCGGGCTCGGGGACATATACCTTGCGCTGCTGCTGGTAGGACCGCCGCTGCTCCGTGTCCCGTCTCCGGCAGCGCTCATCCAGCTTCCCCACAAACTCCAAGGTCCAGACCCTGTCATTCTTCGCTCTGGGATAGACCATCTGCACGTAGTGTCGGATGAGCTTGATGCGAACCGGGTCCAGCTGCTTCTTGCCCAGCGAGCCGCTGCAGTTGTAGTGCTTGCGCGTGTTCTCATAAGTGAAGAGCTCCGGGAACATCAGAACCAACAGCCGTGAGGCAAAGTTCCCGATGGATAGGCTGCACTCGTAGTTGCTCCTCAACTGCTCCTTAGTCAGTAGGTACTCCTGCGGCGCGTCAAAGTCTGGTGCCGGGATGTCCATTCTGTCAAAGTCGATAGGAACCAGCCATGATTTTTTTGACCTGCGGCTTGGTCTCTCGTACTCACAGAAATCCCCAATCTTAATGATGGACACATCATCAGGCAGACTCGCTGCATCGAAACTCTCATCCCGCACCACCTCTGGCTCACTGCCGTTACCATGGGTGCTCTCCAGAGCCTCCTCCATACGCTGGATGCACTGCTGCAGCCATCTGTCCTCAGGAACATCTGGAAAGTTGGCCTCCATATATTTCCTGATAATCTCCAGTCGATCAGCATCTAAGAGCAGCTTTCCAGCTCCATTATAAGCAGTATATCCCTCTGGGAGCTTCCCCTCCTCAAAGACTTCTGGGAAAAGCCGATGCATTAAGAAAACTGCAAAGTCCCCCGGGGATGAGAGCTCATCAAGATCCTCACCAACCTCCTGCGCATCGAATACGAGGTCAGACACCATGTTACTGCTGCTGTTGCCAACGTTGTCGTCCCTGGTCTCCAATGACAGGCTTTCATCCTGTCCGTCCTCATCGATGTAGTGGCAGGCCTGATTGGAATTCACTTCGAACCCGAGTCCCAGCCCTACAGAAGTCCTCCTCCCAGCTACCCCCCCACTCTCCATGTCCTTCTGGGCCCAGAAGCGGTTAAAGAAGTCATTGATTTGGGGCAAGCACTCCGTTTGCCAGCTGTTTCCATTCTTGACCAACGGAAAGCAGAACTCCACATAGTTGCGTATGAGCTGCAGGTGCAGAGAATCCAGGGTCCGCTTGTTGGTGACGCCGCACGCTGCACAGCTCCTGCCATATTCCTCCACGGTGAAGAGCTCAGGGAAAAGCTGCACCAGGAGGCGGCAGCCAAGCTCTCCAGCTGAGGACGTCTGATCCACCAGCTGGCGCAGCTCCTCACTAGTTAGCTGGTACTCTGGAGGAGGCTGGAACTCAGCTACCAGGTCAGAGGGACTGATCCGCCGCTTGATGCGGGTCACCTCCAGTGAAAGCAGGTCCACCTTGCTGTGCAGCTGGGTCATGCTGGAGTTGAGACTGTTGAGAATGAAGAACATCTTCTCGATCAGCGGGTAGAGGTGGGAGTCGTTCTCGGCGACAGAGGTGGGGCTGGCTCCGGCGGAGGAAGGGGCCGTGCCGGATTCGCGCTGGCCGTGCTCCCCGCTGCCGGGCCGGGGAAACAGAAGGCCGCCATACCCCAGCCATCCTCTGAGTTCATGCTGGGGCTGCTGCTCCAGCCCAGAAGCCGCTTTCTTCTCAGTGATTCGGTGCGAGATGCTGTACAGTGGCTTCCTGTAGGACGCTATGGTCTTCTCATGTGAAGAGTCCTTGTTGTCCAGCGACGACGTCAGACCGGGCAGCTGCGATCTGGGCACATGCTCCGGGTTCTTCCCCTGCAGGTGATCCCCTGTTCGGACACCCTGCGCAAGGGGAAAACAGACTGATCTAAATTCTGCACAAGCACAGTCTCGCAATTTGTCCAGCAGTACAAAATAAAAGCATGCCATTGTGTCATTGCTTATACTTTGGCATGAAAAAGGAGTGTGAGAGTTCAATCCGGGCTCATCAGTTCTCACAGCTCTGTGTCACAGCAAGAGGACTAAAGAACACCGTAACCCTCTGTTTTGTCAAACACTGCTTGTGTAATGATTTAGGCCAATACAGCACAGCCCCAGTCAGTGACAGACTCCTGAGCAGCACTGAATGTATGCAGTGAGTCACAGCAGGCACAGGGGAAGGTGCTGAGCAGCTGAGTAACAGGAGATCCAAGCTACAGCAGTCAAACGAGCCTCCAGAAAAGGTGAGACAGTGTGTCACGGAGAAACGAAAGCGTCCTGTCTAAACAGTGAACTGTGGCAGTGCTGACGTACAAACAAGACATAAAAGTAGAGATTTTGTGCAATGATACCAACACAAAAACACTGAAGCAGATTACATCTTACTGTGGTTTTTTTTCCCCTCTTTTTATCTTTGTGCTGGGAACAAGCCTGATCACAGCAAGACAGAACTGCAACTATCCTAATGAACCTGGCTTTCTGAGTTGGTGATTTGTCATGAACATGTTAGATACACTGTCTGAGGATTTATATTGCAAGTTAACATTACAAATACATTTTATGCAAATCAACACATATTATATGCAAAATTACACTCTATAAAAGATACACTTTAGGTCAGGTTTCCCTCCCCCAGTTCTGTACTTTCTGGTTAAAGGGGCAATTTGGGTCAGCGGGTTGTGTTTTGGTTTCTCACCTCTGCGGACACCTTGACCCTTTTGGCGCTGCCTGGCAGGTCTGGTTCCGAGCCCGGTCCTTCCCCAGCCTGCTCGGCGGCACGCTTTCCCGGACCATTAGCAACTCCGCCCTCTGCACAGTCCTCCATCTCCCTCTCTACTTTGACACGGTGAACCCCCTCTGCAGCAGACACAGGACCAGTCTACTGGGTTTGTGCTCAAGTCTTTGTGAACTAACAAGAAAACAATTACCATATAACTAACGTGTCATGCACCTGAGGAGTTTTGGACATGCACTATAATAATCCCATAATCCTATGCTGCTGCTGAACCACCACAGTCTCTCATCTTATTGTTGGAAATGTGGCAGTTTTATGAGTCAGGTTGATCCAGCCCATAGGGTCCGGGCTCGCAGGATCAACAACAGTGCAGGAACATAAGAACCAGGTGAGCTAGTGCCAGCAAACACAGCACAGCGGAACACACAGAACCAAAGGCTCTCCCTCACCTCTCTCAGGAGCCTCGTCATCTGAGTTCTCCCCATAGCAGGATGAATTCATGTCCTAGGAAGACCAACACAGCAGGATGACGCATCCTATCACATTCTGCCAGTCAGTTTTTAAAGTGTCAGAAGCCAGCACTGTTTAAGTTGGATGCACAGTTACAGAGATGCTGCCTGCAGTTTGAACACACGGACATACCCACACCCAGGTTTGGAAAACCAGGAGTCACTCATACACGTGTGACCGCAAAGAGTCGGGACCGCGCTGAGTCAGGTGTAATGCAGGGACTCGCCGGGGGCGCCGGGGGGCGCTGTGACTCCGTGTCTCTCCGTGACTCCCGGTCACTCCACTTCCTCATTCCTCCACTAGCGACCCACGAACCACAACAACCCGACAGCGACGTACCTCGTTTTTCCACCGCCCCCAGCCTCTCTCATCGTACTTTTTTACACCTTCCTCGCTAAACTTTGGATTCCTATGATATTAAAAAGATTAAAAAGCGATCGTGGCGATCCGTGCTGGCAGTTTGCAGCCCACGCCCATTTCCTCATGGCTTTTTATGATTTCGGGGATTCCTGCTGCGTGACGCGGCGTTAAAATAACCCCCGGACGGGTCTCCCCTGCCCCTCCGCGTAACCGCTCCCCTGGATAAAAACCCCTGCTGCAGTAGCGAGGCTCACCTTGGCGATGTGGCGCAGCCTTCCCACGGCGGATCGGCGTGCACGTCTGTCGGCCGCGGCCGTGGCGGCGGCGCTGCGCTGCTCTCCGTGTTTTTCTCCCTGCGCCGTGCCCGTGACGTGACGCCGCTCGCCCGCTGTGTCATTTCCGCACAGCCGCGGGCCGCTGTGGGCAGGAGCCGCCCTGCGTGTGCGGGGCGCGGTGGGGGCGGGGGACGCGGGACCCCCTCGGGGGAAAGGCGCCTCCACAGCCCGCGTCCTGCTGCAGGCGCAACCGCCTGGTTAGAGCCACGACTCGATCCACGCACAGTCCTCCCGCTCCGCGCTTCACGGCGCCCCGCGTTTCGCTCTTTCCCTGCCGCCCCCGTTTCCACACACGGGGCTCATCGTCGCCGTCCGCCTTTTTGAAAACCCGCTGGGCGCTAAGGGTGAGCAGCGGCAGCGCGTAACCCCCTCATGAAACACATTCCCGCCGCGCATTTCAGCATTTTTATTTGATAGGTAATTGATTTAGATGGGATATTTCCACAGAAAACGGCCGAAATGTACTTATAGTACGTTTTTAATGGGTGTTATTAGTGTAGGGTGCCCCGAAATGCGGGTGACCGCCATGTGCACGGGGTGACACCAGTGGCTGACTGAACTTTTATTTTCTTTGTATTTTAACTTCATTTTCAGAAGCTGTGAGCGGTTGCTCGACCCTTCCCCGGCCAGTGAGAGGTGCTGTTCCGTCGTGCGCGCCCAGCCCCGGACGCTCCCCGCCCGGGGCTCAGCCCACCATCAGAACCAGGTCCGGTCTGCACGGTAACTCCCGTACATTTTGGGCGCTCGCGTCGCGTTTTTCAGGGCTGATACCCACACAGCTCGGATGGGGAACTGTAATCTGGGGAACAACATAGTGCTCTGGGCTGAGGATGTGATGAGGGACACAGAGCCAAAGGAGCTTCAGCCATGGCCCCTCATCACAGCTGGGACTGCTACTTCCACATAGACATAAGGGGGCGTCGGGAGCCATAGGCACAGATACACGCACACACACACACACACACACACACACAGATACATGCACACGCACACACACACACACAGATACACGCACACAGATATACACGCACATACACACACACAGATATGCACGCACATACACACACACACATACACGCACACAGATACACATGTACACAGATATATACACACACATAGATAAATCCACACAGATAGATACACACACAGATTCAGATACACACAGACAGACACACACTGTCATTATGGGGACTATCCATTTATTTCTAAGGGCGAAACCCTAATCCCAACAATAACACCCTTAACCCTGACGCAGCCCTAGCCTTAACCATAAGTAACCAAACTAAATACCTGACTTGTGGCATTTTTAGTTTTTTAATCGCATTTAGAGTTTTGTAACTTTGAGGTTCGTATTGTGGGGAGTATTTACCACATTTTGAAGACATTTGAGCCCCACATTGTGGGGAATACAAACCCAAGCACACACACACACACACACACACACACACCTGCTCATCCCCTGATTCCAGCTGTTTGAAGTATAAAATAGGGTGCAGTTGGTGGGTGTATTTCAGCTGTTTTACTGGTGGTGTGAGGACACAGCATTCATTAGGTATCATAAATGGGCCCAAATATGAAAATGAAATTTCTATTTTCCATTTGTACAAGTATGGGAACAAGTATACTGGAATGTGTTTTTTTCACATATCTGCTCTTGCTCTCTCTCTTTTTTCCACACACACATACACATCGAGGTGAGAGCAAAGCTTGAGGTCTGATTGTAGTGTTACCTGTCCATCCAGCACCAATGGAGCATTTTACAGGGGCCTGAGGGCCTGGCTCAAGGACCCAACTAACACGTGACTATTCTGTCAGTGATGTGATTAGAACTGGCAGCCTACTGATCACAGGCACAGAGGTCTAATCCACTGAGGTCCTCTTGGAATGCCTAGGCAACCCTGTAAACTTGAGCGGCCTATAATTTTTTATATAACCTTTAACATTTGACTTCCCAGGAATAAGAAAAATGACAGTAGAATGTAAATTAAGGAATATGGTATCTGGAGAGGCTCCCTGCTCAGGACTAAGAACTAAGAGGGTGCCTCAGATAAAGCCCGGAATTAGCGTTGGGAGTAGAGATTAAATGGCTGGTATCGCCCTCTGGTGGAGAGAAAATGCTTCACGTCCACAACGGAAAAAATTAGTAGTAGCAGATTCCAACCACATGGCCTGGTTTGGTTTGGGGGAAGTGCATAAATACTGATTTCCTCCGTGCTGTAAATTTTAAGTATAGAAAATGTCGGATGCCATTTAAACTGGTTGGATATTAAAACAATGCTGTATTAACTGTAAGCTCTCATGTGGTTAAACCTCCCATTACTGTTGTGACTGAGTGAAAACACCCTGAGGATCAGCCGTGGTCATATTCGCTGCTTCCCAGTGCAGATATGTGAAGAAGCCATCAGTATTTGGCTTAAGGGCTGCAGTCGGTCCGCTCAGGAAGAGAAGCGTAATCGCTAAATACTCTAGCATCTATCCTCGGACACGGCACCGGCAGCACACTGTAATGATGTCTGTGTTAGCGCAGTGCGAGGGGATAACGCAGCGTGCAAATGGAGCCAGCGACGGGCGTGTCTCCCTGCTCTGTCCTGCCGCGGCGGCCACCATTACTCACCTAATGGGCCATCTCCCGTGGCAGCCGTCGGATCCATCAGGTGAATGAGGCATGTGGCCCGCAAGTGCGGAGCAAGCGAGGCCAGCCACTTGAGTAGCACGGGGGGGGGGCGTCAGTACAAGGCGTGATGATCGGGCACCGTTCATCGAGCGGCACTCGTTAACAGGCAGTTAAAGGCTGTCAAGCCATTTTTATTCAGGCGAAATAGCACATTGCTCACGGCCGCTGTGCTGGGAGGAGGGCAAGTGAGCAGGTGTTCGCCGCGAGGTGAACTGGAACGGCAAGAGCGTCCTGCTCTGAGCTGTCACACTGTAGAGACTGCCATCACGTTAGCTGGGCGGCAGTGTCACACAACTCCTCCTGCTGCCCTGGGCCTGCTGTACCAGCCGGACCACACCAAGAATGGGTTTGTTTGTTTGTTCTAAGCCTGAGCTGAAATACAAATGTGATGGGTAAATCCAGGGGGATAGCCTGCAAACATATATAGGGAAAACCCCCCAGTCCTAAATGTGATGTCACTGGGTAGGTGGGCTATCAGCAGCTCAGGGGAGGGGAGATACCAATGGAAATGCAGGTTTTTCCAGTTTGGAAGTGGTCTAGAGATGGATGTGGAGCTCTCCAGCAGTGCAGAATGGGTGGCCTTGCTGTGCCACCCATTTGGTTTCCTCTGTGGGGGTGGGGGTAGGGGTATGGGGAGGAGAGAAAGTAAACTCTTCCCTTGCTGTATGGGGGGGCTCAGCGGGAATTGGTTTGCTGCGTTGGCTGACTCCAGCACCCAGCTGTAATTACACCATGCAGGGAGGCGGGGGTGCGTGGGGCAAGGGTTGGGGGGGCCACCGCGCTCCCACCCCCCGTCATTTGTGTAAGCTCAGCCTTCTTGTCAACGGCATACTCGGGTTGCACTCATGCAAACCACGAAAATCATCTCTATGAGCCAAACAGAGACAGTGTCGGGTTCGGGAGACTCATGATCTAGGGGCATAGTCTTTCTGTCATTGGGCCCCCTAGCTCACCCCCTAACCCCCCCGCCGCCCCCATGCCCTGTGGGTACTGTCACAACACAAAAACAAACTAAACCCCAAAATAAACCCCCTTTCATGTAGAGTAAAAATATGCATGACTCTGTTTCCAAATGAAACACTGAGGGGGGGTCATATTTCCCTCAGTTTCACTTAATACAGCGATGTTTAAAAAAAAAAGTGCTCTCCTGCCTGATGTAAAAAAGGTGTATTCTGTGCAACACGCCAAAGTTATTTGCTTTCGTTAGCATATGCAGAGCAGTCTGAGGGTGTAGGGAGGCGCTGAGGCCTGTCGCCTCTTTATTCCTCTCCATTTCCATTTTTTTGGCTCTCTTACAGCCTGTGTGTGTTTGCTCGGGGCGAGGATGAATATTTCAGTGACGGCCGGCGGCTGGAGAGTGCAGTGCATGGTTACCAGGGGCGACGGTGCTTTAATGAGGTTTAGCTTTTGGGGGTTATAGCTTCTCACAGACCTCTTTCCATTCTTTTCTCTCTCTCTCTCTCTCTGTCACTCCATCCATTATGTCTATCCATCCATCTCTGCGTCGTCCTTCAGGTGACTGAACCCCCGGCTCAAACAACTCGGACTGGAGGTGTCAGGAACCAGGTGACACCCCCCCACGCCCCCCTGTGTCCTCTCTGTGCGAGCGCCGGGAAAAACCACAGGGCCCCAGCCTGGCGCCAGCCCTCGTGCGTCCCGATCGATACGGCCGCGCTTCCTGTCCATTTGCTGAGGGTCGCGGGAGTGGGGGCTCATTAATTATTTCTGCCGGCGCAGCCTCGAGTGCGCTGCTGGCACGACTGGAGGGGGGGGGCGTGGGGTGTGGGGGGCACGACCTTCTGCCTCCTGTTCTACTAGCAGCCTCTCGGAGGGACAGGAAGGAATGAACGACCAATCAAAAGCTGGCAGACTGAGAGCCAGGAGACTCAAAGTGGAGTGAGAGACCAAGAATTGTGTACAAGACGTTTATTTTTGGAAGGACTGCGAGAAACAGCATTTAATAAAGACATGACGCATCGAGCCCACCATTGTGCGTAGACCCTTCCCAGTCAGATCCAGCCGGGCCTGGTCAAAGCCCTCAGGGAAGGGTGAAGATCCCCAGACATGCCTGATCAGAACTTAGTGACGGCGGTGGCGAAGTTTTCCAGGGCAGACCGAGCCTCTGAGGGCGGAAAGCACTTAATGGCATCCAGGGCTTTGTTTCCGTGGCAACAGCAAAGGTCGATGGCCGCTCTCACGCCTTTCTCAGCTGAGACTGTTTCCCAAAGCTGCTGACGAAAACAGACATGGCAAAGGCCTTCAGTGTGGGAGGCAGGAGCCAGCGCAGATTAAGGGGCTCATCGCACATACCTGAGTCCTGGAGCAGACATTCTGCCTTGGACCATGGTAAACTAGTTGATTAAACTAGTTAAATGACAGGACTTTCAGTAGTATGCTCATGCAGCAAGCTCATAAATAACTAGCCATAGGCAAATAATTAGTTTGATCCCTTCCCAGTTAACCTTTGACCCCCACGTTGCCCCCGCCTAAATGCTACTGCACAGAATTAAAGGCCTGAATTACACACAGAAAAGGAAGAGTGTGCACAGGCATAGACACAGTCACACACAGGCGCATACAGACACACACAAACTGCCACGCACACTGACACACATTGACACACTGACACACACATACACACACATGCACACACACAGACATGCACACATAGACACACATATGCACACACTAACACACACACATGCACACACACTCCTTCCCTGCATTTGACTCTCTTCAGACATTTGGTGACACTTGGTGTTGGATCTTGAGTGCAATGGGCGTGGTTAAAGGACAGCACACAAATGGACCGGCGTCTGCTTGGGAGGGGGCCGTGTTTAACGGGCAGTTACAGGATAGTGTTAACCAAAAGGTGTGTCTTTAAACAGGTGACGTATACGGGACAGAAGGACAGGGGTTCAAATCTCAGACGTGCTATCAGTGCCAGAACTCTCGGCTTCCAGCACACGGCCAGGACTGAGGACAGGACAGTGGTAAGTGAAGGGGCTCTGTCCCACTCTGCTTCTCTCACACACTCACACGCAGACACACCCCCAGCAGAGGTGCTTCTCCACTGTCCCATCCCATAGTCACCCTGTCTCCACATATCTGGCCCGGCACCATATCCCTGCCGATCCAGTTTCAGACACGACTCGATCCCTCGTCCCTCCACACTCTTCCTGCCCCCGTCTGTCCCTCACTTCTTTTTCATCTGACTTTGGCAACCAAATTTCCACCTCGCTATCGGTTACAGTCGCCTGGGCCCCACCCCAGACGGACGCGGAACCTGGGGGGAGAAACGCAGACTGGCTTAGAGTCGACTGCACAACCCTGCACTCCACATCAAAATCTCTGTAGCTTTTGGTACCAGACTGCTGGTCCATCACTGGGCCAACACACACACATACATACATACATACAGTCATTCACTATGGGTGATTTAGAGACACCAGTAAGTCTATCTGCATGCATTTGGATGTGAACACTGGGACATTTAAGCCACCAGCCCAGAGCCTCTGAACTGCCCTGTGACAAGAAAACATCTTCAGTGAAAGGTAAATTTCAAACTAATGCTGGATATGGTCGCTTGAAATATTCTTAAGGAATAACTTTTGTGACTTTTCACAACCATAAAAGTTATTGGACGTGACAGACTATTCAGATGCAAACATAGCTCTTTGCTGGCAATGCAAAAAAAAAGTCAAGTAATGATTTCTGCGAACAGGCCAGAGCCTGCCTGTGATTAGCCACAACTGGACGATTCACACAGAACTGCGAGCACATCAGTGCCAGAGTGAACGCTTGAATGACGTCACAGCAAGCAAGTTCTAGAACAGAGAAAGTGCAGCGTCTGACTGGCCACACGTGAGAAGATTATTATTTCAGGTGCAACCACCTGACAGCTGGTGTTAGGGTCTGCCCTGCTCGAAGGCGGGGGGGGGAATCAGCAGGCTGTTGGTGTTGCATGCGCACACACACTGTCAATGACAGCAAAAGGTAAACAGAAAATTATGAAACCAGCTCACCTTTGCATAATCAACCTGTTTCCCAGCTGCTTTTGCCTATACAGGACAGAGAAGGGCCATAACCAGAATATGATTAAAATGTAACACTGATGACAGGTAGATAAGCCTCAAACCCCATTTATTTCACCATTTACCATGTTACTTTGCCCAGAGCACTTCCTTATAACAAGTGGTTTAAACCAGTTTAATATCTTGCTTTAATAACTGATCTTTTTTATTTTTTACAGAATTTTTATCAGCAACATTGTACTGTATAGGGTGGTTCACTGCATTTTGTGTTCACATTCTTATATTATATCTATAGAAGACAGCAGGTGGCATGGTGATTAAGGACTCATGGAATATAAACATTTAATTATGTACTTAACTTGCATTTCCCCAGTAGAATAACCAGTGGTGTAAATGACTTGATGCAATTTACCTGATAGACAAAACCCTCAGATCTACAAATAAACTGCATCGTGTACTTCTACTGGTGCACACCCAGTCCACTCCTGCTGGCCCTTTATGACCCGTACCTGCTTCAGCTGGTGTGCCCACCGCTCGGGGCCCACTATCTGACGGTGCAAAAGCACAGGGGCAGAGTTCAGGCTCAAGGTCACCGGATTCAAGGTCACTGGGTCACCCGCACTGTGCTTCACGAAAGGCTGCAGGTCAGAATTTACCTGAGAGGAAACAGATCAAGCCAATCCAAAGCGAATCATGAAAACGCGCCAAGTGACATTTTAAATGAATAACCGACGTGCTAACGGCTTCGCCATGCAGGCTTTCTGTGTGTGGTGGCTTTCTGAGCGACATTACAGGGTGAACATGGTGCTCATTTAAGTTATAGGTACAAGAGTGGGCTCCCCAGGGATCCGGTCACAGTCTGCCTGCTCCCCAGGCCCTCCCCACCTTGTGAGCCAATGACATGTGCTTCCCATAGAGGTAAGCCAGGGCCTGAGCCTCCTTGTCGTGCATCGCCAGCTCCAAGGCTGCCTGGCAGCTCTTCGCCAACAAAGCACCATGGGACAGGAATGTCTTGTCCTCCCAGGAAGCCACGGTCGTGTCCTCGGTCAGGCTACTGTCCTGAAAACAACACCAAAACATGCAAACATGTGTATTCTCTTCCCCAGACATTCGGGAGAGTGCATCATCTCCAAGACAGTCTCTTAACACCAGAGGCAAGACCAAAACATATGCCTGTACCTTTATTTACTCATTTCTCAAAGAAAAAGCAGAATAAGAATCAAAAACATGGTGTCGCGGAAGAAGGAAACTTAAGAGGGTGCTGATACCTGTTCCCTCCAAAGAGAGGGATGAAACCAAACTCTGCAGAGAGCACGAAACAAACGCCGTGCTTTGCTCGGAAACTCTCCTCGGAGAGAGGCTGAGGTGAAACCCGAGGCGGTGACTTCATTGCCCTCCCTTCAGAAGCCATGTGCCAGCATGCAAAAGGAAATTCTCCAGGAGAGATACCTGCTACTACTGTTTACATCGCCATGCTTACAAAGTTTTTTTCTTTTGTTAAAATGCCTTCATTCATGATTTAGAGCAAAAGATGAATTGCCTTTGAAGACTCCCCCCCATCTATCCACCTGTCAGAATCACCCAAAAGGATCACTTCACCCTACAACCACATCATGATAACTGACAGATGCCTCCGGTTCTATGTAGTGGACATTTTATGGTCTGCACCTCAAGGAAATGCAGAAAGTTGTGGACAAACTTATCCTGGGCCTACACATTTTCTATAGGATGTGTTGCAACTGTTTAGCCATAAATCTACATGGTACATCTCTACTGCCCCTAGAGAGCAACGATGCTTCCCGAATTTGCTCTCCTGAAAGCCCCGGGGCAGAAGGCCAGGACACCATTAAGGGTTCTGAGGGGCCCTGAGGGAAAGACGCAGCTGATCATCAACACAGCAAATGAAGCAGTGGCAGCCAATCATGACAGACATCACTGTCTTAGGAAAGAGGACGTAAGAAGCTCACCTCTGCCCAGCTGTCACTCTCATGGTATATGCCCTGGACCAGATCCCCAATGGCGCTGGAGATCAGTTCCACCACCTGCAAGGAGACACAGATATTGCTGCTGAGGTTCCTCTTACTGAGAGACTTGTCATGAGAGAGATCCTGCAGAGAACCAGGAAGGCAATTTTGTTGAACCTTTGATTGAGATGGTCTAAGTGCACACTCTGCAAAAGTGAAAAAGTCAGCTTCGCATGAGGAAAGAAGTATATTCTCCAAGGTACTGAGCAATGGAGCTAGGTATCCAAGACTTGAACACAGGACCCAGTCAACAAGCAGCTGCAGATTGTCAGGAGCACAACCTTTCTCTAGAAGGTTCTCTCAAGTAAAACACTCAGCCTCTAGATAAGAGCAATCACGAGATCCATGGGTGGAAACTTTTATCTGAACTAAACTGAAGGTCTAAAAAGAGGGGTCAGCGGGGGAGGAGAGAATGCTTTTCATGTTTAACTAACAAAACCAACACCTTCCACCCGAGAGGCTTTTAAAAAGGTTTGTAATCTTTAAAGCTGCTCCGCAGAACAGCTTGTGCTGTAATTTGGCTAGGCTGGGACAGATGTGGACACAGGTGTGTATGTGTGTGTGTGTGCATGAGAAATACCGTAAGGGGTGTGGATGGATGAGGCCAGGCAATGCTCATTGACAGCTCATTATCACGTCTACACTACCATTGCTGTTTTCATAAAGAGCATTTACACCGAGCTTTGTTAATTCACATCTTATTTATAACCCCACCCCCCATTCCAAATGTTTAAACTGTGTCGTACAGATGTATCGGGTTTCCTGTCTACTGTGTCACACTTACTGGGGAGCAGATGGCTAATCAAAATACAGAAAGGTCAGCGGGGTGGGAAGGTTCATGAGACCCCAGGGTGGGCTGGAGACATCTACCAGGGGTAGCAGGTGTGGATACAGGAAGGCGCGGGTGAGGACACACGACCCTATAGACCTAAGGCTATGCTGTGAAACGAGGAAAGCCCCAGTGACCCCAAAAAAGTGAGTGGCCAGTCTCCCCACCCTTGAGACACTTAACCGTGGAAAGGAAAGACTATGAAGGAATCAATCATACAAGCTTTTAACCCCAGATACTACAAAGCCCTACACTGGGACCAGTGAGAGAATCCTACTCACATCATTCACACAGAGCAGAAATGCAGTGTGCTTAGACCTATTTTTAGCTGCTTCTCTGGGCCCACCCCTGCCAGACACTGCTGTGCCTCCTGAACCACATGGCAGGAGAACAGTGTCCAGATCTCTCTCCTGCCTGACCCCGGCATGGAGCTGGAAGGGGGCGGCTCCCCCACAGCTGTGTACCAGAAGTTGGCACCCCTGGAAATAGTGCCAAACAGCTGCAGGTTCACATCCCAGCGAGGAGAAGATGGTGCAGTCACACTGGCATTTTCACAGTGCCTCGCTCTTCTGCTGCCAGAGTGTACAGCGTTAAAAAGGAACCCTACATCCACTTGCAGCTACACACTGCTTCCTGCAGAGGGGGTTGCACTTTGCTCAAATTCACATGGCTTTTATCCTGAGAATTACTCAGCTACTTAGAAAATATTCATCGGAGACGATAAACCATGCATGTGGGTCCTGTGGTGCCGACCAGCCTCAACAAGCGGCTGATCGCTTTGCCCATAACAACAGGCAGCTTAATTGGCTTGGCCTGGTTCTCTCAAGGTTTTAAGTCATGCCCAAAAAAAACCTGTAAGTGGAACTCAAATCCTCAGTCATCATCTATAAACAGCAAGAAAATGAAGAATATATTATAGACTTAAAAAAAATGAAATCCACCCTTTTTCATTAAATCCAGACCTTTTTTATTTGAGAGGTTGGTATAAACACAGCTCTTTCTGAGTCCCTGTGCCCTCTGGGTAACCAGATCCTTGAGGAAATATTGAGGCAATCCGAGCTCTCGCGCAAACCAAAAGGACAATGCCCCTACAGTGTTACCACATGTGCTGTCTTAGTTAGCTTGGGAATAGAGAAAATGGGGGGTTTTTAAGGAAAGTATCAGATAAGCGTTATTCCCAAATCCAAGCGGATCGGGTATCGCCAGTGGGTCTGTGAAGGGCCGAAACCTGAGACGTCCCTGCAGATCGTGTTACCGTTTATACAAGCGCTGTCCCAGGATTCCTCTCAAGGCCGGGACACATAATACAGATCAATCACTCACTAAAATATGTTCTGGTTTGTGAAACGCCCAGAGGCCCGGGAGCAGAGAGGAATGCGCCAGGACCCGCCGGCTTGCGCCGAATGTCACTGTGCCGGCCCCTCCTTCTCTATGTGTGCGTGTGAATTGGACAACAGTGGTGACAGACTGTCCACAGGATTACGCTGCCGTGGCAGCTACTTTGCATGCAAGCATGCGCACGCACACACACCCCCACCTCCGGGTGCACACGGTGGAGAGTCACAACCTGCCAATGTGTCACCCCTCCACGGGTGACAACCTTTGTCAGAGTCACCAAGGCCCAGCATCCATCCAACAAATCCTTCATGGCGCATCAGACCCCCATAGCTGCTAAAGATGCCGTCATTTTCCACTTTGAGCGCCAGAGGCAAACAGGCAGTCATGCCCCGTGAACCTCAATCAGTCAATCAAGTTGTTTTTCAAATGTATAGCAAATTTGTCCATCAAAATAACTCAGAGACAAAAATTATGGGGGGAAATGTGTGAAAATAAATCTGTCAATCAATCAATCAGTTAAATTTTCTTATACTGCTCATTTCTCCAATGAAGCTGTCAGGAACAGCTTTACAATTACCAGTTTGGGAGTCTGGGAAGTGCTGAAAGTGATTCCCTAAGAGCTTATAGGAATGGTATTGATTAATGCTCCTGGAAAAGAAGAAAATCCAAGTGCAGCAGCCTGAAAAGTCTGGATTATTCTGCGACCCAAGTGTTTGGATAGAGCCGGTGGTCTCAGCTTAGGCGATGTCTTACATGTCCACGCTTGATGGATAAAGCAATAAAGACCAAGATGTAAATACATTTTCTGTCACCACAATCTGTGGGCCATACTTACCTACTTTCTGCCACCATAATCAAGGAAGGGTGTCGAAGTTTAATCATCTTCTCTGATCTCACAGTGATCACACACCCCAGGAATCTGTGCTTTGTTAGCATCTGTCTCTATAACACATCCACAACAGCAGTGTGATGCTCAACTAAGTGTCCTTTCAGAGCATGATAACAATTTAACTTTGTCTGGCAGTGTTGTTTACTTACCCTGTTCTGGCTGTGCTGTCTGAACACAGTCACAACCGAAGGTAAAGACCCTGAGGCAATGGCTGTCAGAACTGGTTAAAGTAAAACTTAGCTTTGCGTGCACCATGTTTGTTTTTCAGAAGCAGATTCACCTCTGTGATTGTGGGGAAAAATCACACACAAGTCCCATGCAATGATGTGTTTTTACAGAGAAGGTTGAAATCTTGCCCTTTGCCCTCTGAAATTCCCTTTCCCAACCTCTCCCTTTGAGAGTGCAAAAACAGCACTTATTTAAGTTGTCAGTGACCTCTGCTTACTTCAGCCAACCTCATGTTCATGTCTTGCTGGACCCACTGCATTTAATCGTTTTTACCTTAGCATTCTGGAACAACTGGAGTATGCCAACCAATATTTTTGGAGCAAGTCTGTCATGGTTTATTCTCCATTTTACCAAGTAACAGCAATTAATCTCTGGCGGTCAAGACAGAGCCAAAGCTGTTCCTACTGTCCAGGGTATTCCCCAGGGCGTTCCTCAGGGCTCCATACTCGGTCCTTTCCGCTCCACATTTACATTCATCCTCTTGGGAACAAAAGTCATCTGACAAGAATGTAACAAAACTAAACTTCACCCAGTTTTAAAAAAGTCCTTGTGCTCATGCAGCTTGACCATGTTTTGGATTCTTTACTTCTTGTGTGGGAGCAAGTTGTCCATTAGTGTTCATTTATCCATTCCAGAGGACCTGCTCTCTAGTTTTTCATTCATTAATAGACTAGTTCTAATTTCCTTCCACCCTTAATTGTGTGATAAGAAATTACTCCAGCGTTTCCAGAATAATATTCTCATTGCAAAAAAGACCAGTCAAGGTAACTGAATGCCACCTCCCCAAACGTCACTTCACTTAAACCCAATCCACTAGGTACAAATAAACAAGCAGCAAATTACCTAATGGAAAATAAAATACCAATTTTCAATTTGCTCTTGACATGTGATTCTGTTCTAAAGTAATGGGTACCCAAAATTGCCATTACAATAATTAGTTAAGGGGTTTTTTGCATAAAAGTCCTCATTTTGAGCGGTAAATGATCCATTGCCAATTGTAAAATTGCATGCAGCACTGACGTAAGCCAGCACTGACACCACACATTTTTCTCCTGTCCAAGTCCCTATTAATGCTTGACAGAGCTGTTAACTGAATGGCGTTGCGGGGCTTTACGTCCCTTTGCACGTACCTGCTGGAAACAGTCACACTGGAAGTGACTCTACTAGGACTAAATGATGAGAGCTGGATGTATCTGACTAATGTGGTGCAGCAGTGTACCTCAGCAGGATTCAGGCTTTTGTCCAGGTTTGACAGAAACTTTCTTAAAGGAACTGGGGAGATTGCTTTGCTTTATCATTCTCACAGGTGTTGTGCTTGTATAATCGTTAGTCTGTAATGTTCTAACCCAGTTCTCAATGGAATCTGCCTCATACAATACAGGCACATGTGTTTTTCTGACCAGCAGGGGGAGCCTTAGAATGTCAAAAAGAATCATCTGTCTTTTTTGTCATGCAGATGGAGTTATGCTTTGGCACTTGTGCTTTCTTGTAATTTCCACCATAAAACTGGTTCCTTTGTGCTAATTGTGGGCTATACTTTATTCAGCAGTAATATACTTGGGAAGCAGTCATTTCCATTCAGGATATATGTATGTAGTCATGTGTCCTTAAAAGCCTCACAGTGGTCTGCCTCACAGGCTGGCAGAGCCGTGCTTTTTTCAAATAGGATGTGCAGTTTCTGGGGTTCACCAGTACTTGGAATAGTAAGGTTCAGCAATTCATATCGGTGCACCAGCATAAAAGTTCACAATGCGACTGCCCCAATTAAAAAACCGTGCACCGGCTACAATTTGGGTTTGCATTGCTTCTAACATCTTAGCAACGGTAAAAAACGATTTATTAATACATAATTATTAGTAGAGGCCCTATGCCTTTATTACTTAGAAATGTGACCAATCATTTTTGACCAATAATTTTATATTTAGATTAATTCCCCCTTCTGTGAACTGTTTCTGTATCTGTAGCATATTGAATCGCATAACATCATATTCTTTTGCATCGCATTGCATTGTGTTGAATCAAATCGTGCCAAATTGCACTGCATCACAATAAGGGCAAATCATATCATATCGCATTAGTAGTTGCTTCATATGTGTCTTTAATGTATCATATCGCTGGCAGTGCATCAAGATGTGTATCGCATTGGCCTCAGTGATGGAGATGCACATCCCTAACTGGTACCATACATTAGCCTAAGTTGCAAGATTTTGGAGCAGGTAGATGGTGTCTAAGAGCCTGCTGGCTGAGAGAGCTGCTAGGGTGACTGTGTAAAGGGAATGCTCCCTACTGTCCTAAGGAGTAGCAGGCAGTCAGCTGTCAGAGTGTCGTGCGGTTTGAACAGAAAACAAACAGCAAGGCGCAGAGCGGAAGTGCAACTGGAATCGGCTTACTTTCAAATGGGGTTATCGAAATCATCCGGCATGGAGGATTTGCGGTGTGTTTACCACACGAAGGGAGGGAGCGGGAGGAACAGAGAGTGTGTGAGGCTAGTGGTAACCTGGGAGGCACCCTGGACCGCAGGAGCTGACACACTGAGTAAGGCAGACTATATCTCAGCTTTGTGATGAGGTTAGGTATGATTTATCTATGTGGGGGGGGGCTATGCTTGATCAAGGACGACTTATTTCGCTTGTTTATGTTGATGTGTCATGAAATTATTCCCAACCATGTTTCACCCCCAAGTCAGACCATTCAACCTGCCCCTAATCGCACCCAGTCCCCCAAAGTGTACACCTGACACCCCTCCTCTCACCCCTCTCTTTTCACACTTCTTTTCCTGTACATCTCACAGTATTGTTGGTCTATCTTCTTTCACCTTCAGATATATGTGCGTGTAAATGCACCCTCACAACCTCAGAGCTACAGAATTGATCCGTTGATTGAATCAATCTGCTCCACACTGAGCGAAATGGACACAGGCGACCTATGTAGGCAGCATTTAACTCTTCTGTAAACACCATTTATGTCCCCATCGATATTCTGCACGTTCCTGGGGAGAGCTCCCATAATCACATACTCAAGCTCCCCCCCCAGTCAAGTCTTCCTTCACATGACAACTGGGCCTGCTGGGATTGCATGGTTCCCACAAACGATGCATTGTGATCACGCCTCCAGTTCAGTGGGATTTAATCCCAGGGGATAAAGTGTCTGGAATTATAACCTCATTCCAGCTGCCCGTCATCACTGGGTTAACAGCTCAATCATCAGGGTCTTTAGGGGACCAATGTGGTATTAGTGTGTGCGAGGGGGAATGAGGGGGGAGAGGCAGAACACAGAGATAGGAACCCCATCCCATCTCAACAGTGAAGTGGGCTGGTTTGGCATCTCCAGCTGTGCTTGCCTTGTTTCTGAACCCAGCATCAGAGAGACCAGCAAGTGGATTTAGGGGTTGGGGACATAAAATGGGCGTGGCAACTTTCCAGTAGTTCAGGTCAGCTGTCCACAAGACCCATTTCTGTCAGGAACAAAGTGTAGAACATTCAGAACGGAGCAGAGCTCGACTGCACACTGAGAAGTGCCATGCAAAGTTATTTTCCTTCCAAACAAACAAAAAAGAATGATGGCCACAATCCCACAGAGACCTTTCTTTTACTCTGATTTGGGACCAGTTACTTAAGTCCTGCACCTTAACCACCACGCCACCAGCCGCCCATCTTTTAGACACTCGGCTGATGGAACACTGCTGCCAACAGGAAGCCTGGCATGGTGTTGATGTTTCTGACCAACTGTTTCCAGGGACACATCTGCACACAACACATACCCACCCACCCCCAACGCTCCAGGCGGGAAGCCTAATAAAGGTTCTCCCGGGAAAAGGTGCTTCTGGTCCTGAATTTGGGGTGTTTTAATGTGCTGTGTGTGACCTGGGATTAAAGTGTGTGTCCGTGTGCGTGCGTGTGTGTGTGTGTGTGGGGTTAATTATGGCTGCTTCAAACGAGGGACTCTGATTTTGTACTGCAGTAGCATCCACCAGGGAAATCCGCAAGGAGAAGCCTACCAACGAAAATAATTGACTCTGCTAATATTCCCTTGGGCGCAGATTATCATGCTGTCTGCAGAGGCAAGTCCCCCACCCCCTCAGATGGGGGGCAGCTGGACCTCAGATGCATGCTTTTTCTGCAAGCAGTTCCCCACTTGTTCCTCACCTTTCCTCAAGCTGTACTTTGCTTCTATTCACTACATCCAGCAAATGATGACATCTACTGCTATCTGACCTGTTAGAAGAACTCATGTAGAACTCATCACCTCTACACCCCCCACCCACACTTCCTTTGTTTCACCCACTACCCCCTCTACTGGTCTAACCATACCTCTGCTGGGCCCATGGACATCATACATCACCCACCGCTCATGTGCTCCACCAGCTCCCCCCGGTATAACTCCACCCTCTGCCTGCTTCCCCACCCTCCGCCTGGCCATCCACAGAAGCACCTAAAGATCAGTTGTGCGTGGAAAATCATGAGTCTAGAATGTTACTATGATGTTGTACTTGGCAAACAAATAATTTTAACTGAACCAAAAGCCTGCATTTTCTAATATACACAAAACACCTCAAAGAGCTTGGCTAAGAGCCAGTGATCGCAGTGAATGGGCCCTAATAATCTCATTATCAGGAGGCCTCAACCCAAAAGCAGCAACACAACTCTGCTGTGTGGTGGGGGGTTACCTTGGTGTTGTTCAGCTGTGCGAGTCCGGTGCAAGCATTAGCCAGCAAGAAGTCACCGCTCAAGATAGCCATCTTGTTCCCAAACTGCATGTCCTTCAGCGGCCCATCAGAACGGGTCCACTCCTTGAGGTCAACAATGCCGCGGTGGACCAGGAAAGCTGTGTGGATCAGCTCTGTGATCTCAGCCAGGTTCCTCTGGCTGTGGGGACAAAGAGCTGCATGAGTCATCAGCTTACCCAGTCGGCAATGATCAGGCCTCCCAGAGGTCAGGAAGTCAGGAGAGCCCAAGGGCTTCCACAATCCAACCCGAGCTTCCACAGCTATGTTCAGACAAACCAGGCTGGAAGGCCATGGTGACCAACATGATGGAGGCTGCAAATGGATGGGGGCTGGGGTTCAGGTCCTTAAGGTTCAAACAGACATTTGAGGAACACTCAGAAAGGGGGTCACCAACACGCTCCGGTTCCCTCTTACGCATCCAGAGACACACACACTACTAAAAACCGCACACAATGTACACTGCCCCCTCCCAGAATGAAAGCACTCCTTTGCCTTTGCCTCTTATACCCTCATCTTCCCACAACCCTCTACTGCAAATCAGCAGTGTTTGAAAGAGGGTGACATGGGTGGGGGTTGGGGTGGTGATGGTGCTGGAGGGAGGGGTATCTATAAATAGCTCCTTCTTCTGGTTGCATGGCAACGTGGCAGCATCAGATGCCATCATGCTGAAAGGTTCCGCCCCCCCAGACACGCCTCCTTTTCTAAGGCATTCTGCTCTTATGTCTTTCGCCTACAGAGTCGCCGTTGCCCTAAAAGGCCGTGGGGGTGTGGGGGGTGCCAGTCATCAGTAACAATAAGGACACTTGATTAAAAAATGACACAGTCTAAGCTTGTAAATTTATGCAAAATGCAGTGAGTCCATCCACACTGATATGGAGAATTGATCTGCAGTTGAGCAAAAGAGAATGGAGGAAGTGGTACTCTGAGACCCATGCAGTGGACAGCCAAGGCTCTCTATGGTCACCCCCCTGCCCGTGACATGGGGCCACCTCTCCAGCCAAAATAAACCATGCACACATGTCTGGGGCCCACATATGTAACACACATGCACTCCCCAGTGCCATATGCAGTGTGGACGACCAAGTCACTGTGTCTGGTCAAAGACACGAGGTGCCATACGGATGTCTGCCTTACGCAGAAGAAGCTTGCCCAAGGTCCCATCTGTCAGACGGACATCAAAACATCTCTCCATGAAACCAACAAAGGTTTATTTCTCTCCCAAGGTTATGGGTGTGTGGAAAACACATGTAAAAAAAACATCCTACACAGCCCAGCAGTGTTTGAACAAACTTAAACACCAAGCTGTTTAGCTGTTTATAAATAACTTCTGTAATTACACGTTACTAAAGTCCCAGACCATGCATGAGGCAGTATGAATGCGGATACAGACCCTTCGACAAGGTCCCAATAAACACAGTCCTCATTACGGATGGCTAGATATGTCACGAGATATTTTTAAATATCTCGCTGCAGCCCATTTAAAGCATATGGCAACATTTCACAGGTGCCCCACAGTGTCCAGCAGGTGGCACTGTGATTAATGAGCCTGTGACCAGAGTGCTGGTTCAGGTCACAGAAGAAACTCTAATGTATGAATAGCAAAGCCCTTTACCAAAGCTGCTTCTCGAAAATAAAATATGTGGATTGAGGACTGGATAAAACATAGAGAGCCACTACCCCCAACCTCAAACCCACCCCCCCCCCATAGGAAGCAGAGCAGGAGACATGTTACAAATGTTGTGAAGACCATCCCCTGGTGGCATCAATCAAACCCTACCAGCGTCCTCGGTAATGAGGCAGGGGGGGGGGGGGGGG